AATGGGGGAAAATATTAACAAATCGTATATTGGTAAAGTTCTAGTATCCAGAATATATAGGGAACTCTTACAACTCAATGTCAAAAAGACAACCCAACTTAAAAATGGGCAAAAGATCTGAACAGACATTTCCCCAAAGAAGATATGCAAACGGCCAATAAGGACATGAAAAGATGCTCACATCATTAGTCATTAAGAAAATGCAAATCAAAACTACAATGTGATATCACTTATCCACTAGGATGGCTATAATCAAAAAGACATATAACAGATGTTGACAAGGATGAGGAGAAATTAGAACCCTCATACATTGCTCGTGGGAATGTAAAATAACGCATCCACTTCAGAAAGCAGTCTGATAGTTCCTAAAAGGATAAATTTAGTTACCATCTGACCAAGAAACTTCACTCTTGATACACGCCCAAGAGAACTGAAAATAGTATATCCACACAAAACTACACAAATGTTCACAGCAGCATTGTTTATAATAGCCCAAAGTGGGAACAACCCAAGATGTCCAACAGCTGACAAATGGATAAAGAAAAGATGGTCTATTCATACAACACAATATTATTCAGCACTAGAAAAAGCATGAAGTATATGCTATAACATGGTTAAATATTGAAAACATTATGCTAGGTGAAAGAAGCCAATTACAAAGAGCCACATATTACATGACTCCATACAAATGAAATGTCCAGAACAGGCAAATCCACTGAGATAGAAAATAGACTAGTGGTTGCCTAGGGCTCAAGGTATTGAAGGTAAATGGGAAGTGACTACTAATGGGTACATAGCTTCTTTTTTAGGTGATAAAAATGTCTGGAATTCACTTTTGGTGATGGTTACATAACTCCGTGAGTATGTTAAAAACCACACTGAATTATATATATAATTGAGAGAACTGTGTAGTATAGGAATTTTATCTTGATAAAGCTGTTATTTTAAATTTTCACAGTAGAATTTAATTTCCAAGAAGAATTGGGACATGTAAGGGTATTTACACTAAAGACCTAGAAAGGAGAAGCATATAGGGTTACCAAAAGTGTTTCATTCAGATGACAGGCAGATTGATTTTCTTTGCCTAACATATTACATTATAAATCAATGGGTGGAAATGCATACATCATATAGAAATCAAAGAAAATGTGAGGCAATTTGAGCCAGTATATTACTACTTCACCTACCCAGGCTGATATTATCGACCTCACCATTTCAAACTCCATTGGTCAGTTCAGGACACCTTATTCTTGATGCAGTCTACTAGGTTTCTAGGCATATCAAAAACAGAAAAAGCAAGTAGACTAAGGCTGTTAATATTACATTATAATTGGCTATAATTATGACTAACTAAAAATCATCTTGTATAATTAGGAATTATAAGCACAAAGTACTATTTTAACAGTTTCTATCAAATATTTAACTAAGAAACTCCAATAATTATCTAGCTATTACCTAGTTAATTTCAATTAGTATCAAAAACACAAGTCAATTTCTGTCAAACAAGTACCCTGAACATTGCCAGTGCCCAATGATTTTGTTGAAAGACTATAAACAATCATGAGCAAAAATGGTGTCTATCCATATCATCTGTCAAACTGATTCAACAAGTCAGTTCCTCACCTTCCCTTTGAAATGAACACTTCAATGACCACCTCAAGGAATCAGGTCACAGACAAGTTGGACCTTTACTTGGGATCAGCATTTTATGCCGGTTCACTATAGACCATTGGAAAGAAAAGGGGAGATGGCTTAAGAGTAAGAACCGTATAAATAGTGTGGCAAGAAAGTAGACTGGTTTCTCTACTTTAAAATAAATTTCAGGGTGAGATATACACTCTTGTTGGCTATTGTACAGTGCTAATTTTCTTTAAATTAAAGAAATTCTTTAAATTCATTTATAAAATTCTCCTAAATGCCTCCAGTGAGGACAAGCATAGAAGACAGGCAACTCTTAGCAGACCTTTTTCAAGTGAAAGCACCAGAGGGGCCCTGCTCTCCAGGCTCTTAGATCATGAATCCAAAGACAGTAAGGAAAAGATAGAAAAAGATCAATTCTGAGGAGTCAGATTTAAAGCATTTATTGGAAATGGTGATCCCAAATCTTTTTGGGTCTTTGATTTTACATTGTTCATTACTAAAAGTGGTGTGTGCCATGTATTTACTGAAGAATCTAATTTGTCTCTCAAGATCTACAGAGTATCTGAGATGGAAATTGCAAGATGTTGCATAAAGAAGGCTAACAAACACTGAGTTAAACAAACCCTCTAAAGGCATTATTTGAATAATATTATATGCAATTCTTGAGTTCATTTTCAACTCAGCAAATTAATATTCCCTATGGTTGGAATATTATAGTTATTCCAAGTTGTTGAGGATTTTTCCCAATATGGGGCACTAAAACAGTCTTCAAAAAGAGCTGCAAGACATCAGTAGTACAAAGGAATTATTTTACGTAACAGTGGGCCTCTGAAAATTCTAATGAAAAATTCTCTTAGACAATATGGGAAGTGTATTTGAATTTGTTTAAAGATAAAAGATAAAAGAAAAATTCATCAATGTTTGGGGACAGAGGAAACAAGTAGATTAAATTAGTGTCACATGATATTCTAGATACTAATCTATCCTCTATTTATTTTTCAACTTTATAGACTCTTCCATGATAAATCCTTTTCTTTTATTCCTCATCTGTAATTTTCCTCTGTTTTGAGGATTCATGAAACTATGCTTACCAAGTTTACTTGTTTTGCAACTGACTGCACATGGCTTTGGAATTCAAGCTCTGAGGCTCAGTTGGCATTACCAGGAAGATTCCACTACAGATATGTTTGTATGGGTCAAATTCTCAGAGAACAATGAATCAAGAAAACCAGTAAGTAACAAGTACACAGAGCAATGTTATGATTCAGCTAACCTTTCAAGGAAACCAGAAATGCCTTTCCCTTTGCACAGGTTCTTTCTTGATTTCTAGAAATTTAACCATATTTATACTGTTTCTGAAAATAAAAAGGAGCAAATGGGATTCTCTCTTAGGAGGGCCCAAGTAATGTGAAAGGAGAAAAATATATCCCCCTAGCCAAATCAGGCATTGCCAAAGATCAAGGGGAAAATCAGTCTCCTCTTTGGAGACATCCACAAAAGCAGTTTTTATATGTCAATCAAATGCTGTGTGGAATAAGCTGAAATAAGGGAAGATTTACTTAAGAATTCCTCTTACAAAAATAGTAGGCATAAGAGAAGCAGAACTAATATTTAAATGTGCACTATTTGCTATGCCCTTTACACACATGCTCTGTTTTATACTCAAATTTTTAGAATCAAACTATAGGAAAATTCCTCCCAGCACCATCTTTCTTCAGGGTTAAAGTTACCAGCGGGGAAACAAGACAAAAACAAGATCCCTGCAGAAATAAAAAATGCAGCCACTTCTACTGCCTCTCCAATAATCTACACTTTAAGTAAATATGACAATACTAGAATCTTAACGCCCAACAAATAATCTACAATTAATCATGTCTGGTACCTAGTAGGTGCTCAGTGTTGTTAAATGATTATTGAAAATATTTGGAACATGAGGTTTTGCTTTGTTAATGTGCATTTACCATTCCATTCATAAAACACACATCTAGACAGCCACATTGATGTCTACTCCTGGAAATGTCCTCATGACAAAAAGTGGCAAATCATTATAATAGAATGGGACATACAATGACAATTAGAGAAATTACAGAGGGAAATCCCAGACACTTTCATAGTCTTTCATCCCAAAATCCTTTCGTAGTCTTTTTGATGACAGTTTTTCTGGTCTCCATGGAAATTCACAGGTGTCTACAAAAAAGAAATCTATTCCTAATTTAAAACTTTAAGACTGAAGGCACATAGTGGATCTGTTGCATCTTACTACACTGATGGACAGTGACTGCACTGGGGTATGGGTGGGGACTTGATAATATGGGTAAATGTAGTAACCACATTGTTTTTCCATGTGAAACCTTCATAAGAGTGTATATCAATCATACCTTAATAAAAAAATTTTAAAAATAAATAAAACTTTAAGACTGTTCTTGGCAATAATATCACTCATAATTACAATCTTTTTCCATCCTTACAAATCAACATCAAAAAATACATTTTAAGAGAAGCCACATATTTACAATATGCAATATGTTCAACAAACCCCAAAAGAAATGAATATTGATTTATCATTTAACATTTAAAGAGCAACCACCAGAAGTAGAAATAATTCTCACACTAACAGACAACCGTTTTTACTAACCTCTCATTTTCAGTTCGTTATTTCCTCCCCCAAAAAAGTATACCTAAGTCTCTGTGTGTGGTGTTTGGTGTTTCATATCCTGCCTTTATTTTGTACTTAAAACATAAATAGAGAAGTAGACTAGAATTTTTGGGGAGTGGGGGTTGTTAAAATAGCAGAAGGCAACAGAGAGTTTCACTCCACCGGATTATTTACCAGCAGGCCGGCGTTCCGAAGAAGCAAACCAAGGCTCTTTCAAAATAATTTTATATATGGGGAATAGATGGAAGCGCAATACACACCAGTCATCAGCAATAAAACAAAAGCTTTGTTCTTCTCTATTTGTAAACAAGAGCTCAGGCCAGCCCTCCCATCTGGCGCCCGGGAGGTTTAAGGAAAGACGGGCATAACCCTGTGCCCATCCCGAAGCGTTCTCCAAGGGCCGCATGGGGAGGCTGACCTCCACCTGGACCAGGCACCGTCCTCGGGCGAGAGAACCCTACTGGAGCTCTTCTGCTTCCAGTTAGGGGACCCGAGTCGACCATCCTGCTTAACTTCCCTGCATTTCCCTGCATTACCCTGCAATTCTTTAACTTCCTTCAACTGTCTGCACTTGACCAGGCTCCCCGAAACCCTACGGCCTCTCTGGCGACCCCGACTCCCGTGCCCTCTCAGAGGCTCCCAGGCGCTCTGAGCCTGCGCCCTCGGGGAAGCGCACCCGAGAGAAGCCCCGCAGGCGGCTTACCGAGCAGAGAGCCTATGAAGATGACGACCTGCACGGTGGTGGTGAACCGGCGGTACAGCTGCGCCTCGCCGAACGCCCCGAGCGCGCTAAGGTTGCCGCCTGCCGCCTGGGCGCCCGACGCGTTGCCCGACTCGCTGGCGTTTCGGGAGATCCAGCTGTCGTTGTGCCCCATGGCGAGGCTGGTGCCCCTCGCTCGTCGCCCGCCCGCCTCGGAGCGCCACGCCAGTCTCTCCCGCCCCGGGCACGGAGGAACGCGCGGATGCCTGGTGGAGTCCTGCAGAACCCGGGGCAGCCAGGGTCCCCTCACGTCTCCACATCGCCAGCCCCTGCGCCTGGGAGGCGGGGAAGGCGGAGGGCGAGGCTGCGCCCCATGCCCGTTCCCCCCGGAGTCCCCGTCAGCAGCGACATGAAGGCGGCACGGTCAGAGCCCACCGGGCGTCGGCCGTCCTCCCTCCCGGATGGTGAGCGCGGCAAGCCCACTCAGCAGAGACGGCAACACAGATGGAGGCATTTGATGGTCAGGAAGGGCGCTCTCGCTCCCGCGCTCCCTTCAACCCCTTCTCCTTCCACCCTCGAGGACCGGGCACCCCACTTAAGTCCTTTCGGGCTGACTGGCTCAGCCCCTCTCCTTAGAGGAAAGAGAACATTTGGTTGAAGCCGTGTTTCAATCCTGCTGGATTCCAGGCTGGGGGACGATGGGAAACCTGTGAAATGCCCTCGGCAAGTGGTCGTAGCCCCGAGGGAACCCCCGAGTCCCCGTCGGCACCCATGGCCTGGGCAACATGCCCTGCATCTCCCCAAGAAGCCTCGCCCTCCGCGCTTGGCCGTCCCCCAGGACGCCCGCACGGTCTCCTCCGGCTCAGACCCTTGCCGGGAGCTCCGACCCCCCTCTCGGCGCTGGTTACAAGGACCCGGTTCCGCCTCTGCAGGGCCTAGCGCCCCCTTTTCTGGCCCCGATTGCTAGAGGGACAGCCTTGCGGCCGAGCGGGGAACTACGGAGAACGCCCCTATAGGGGCAGAAACGCCGCCTGCGTTACCACCGGACTCCTGGGGTAGCGAGGGCGCCCGGCCCGCTGTGGTCACGTGACATGCACGGTCCCGCCCGCTCCGCCCCCCTACCCCGCCGAGGTGGCCGCGGGGACCGCGCCATCTTGTCACTCGCGAGCGCGACCGTCTCCGCGGGGAGCGTAGGAGGCGCGGACTGTCCTTGTCTGGCTGCCGTGGAAGGGCTTGCGGCTCCTCCCAGGCTGCACTTCATTTACTACTGTTTTTCTGCTCCTTACCTCGTCAGCAGGGGCTGCCTGAGGCTTGTAAACACACATAGCTGCCACCTGGGCGGAGAGCCCAGGCTTCCGGCTCCTTGGATGGGTCTTGGGTGTAGCTGAAGCCGTTAAGAAAGATGAAATTTAGGAAGCCAGGGCACGATTTCCTGGGCCTTTTTATTAGTCTCATTTCTAAAAGGTACGCAGCCTAACCCAGGCGTGGTGAATTCTGGTAATGAAGAGAGCAACTTCCTGCAGGCTGATGCAAAAGGCTGGGAGGCTGGGATACCCAAGTAAACAAGAAAAACGGTGAAGAAGGTCGTGTAAGACTTAGAAAAGATACGGGAAAAAGAGAAATGAGATAGGAAAAGACCACTAAAGATTGACTATTTTGACTTTATAGAAATGGTTGGTTTTTTTAATGACATGGTAGAGGACGCTGACATATCGACTGATAAGACTTGCTGGGCAGCTGCGTCTGGTGGGGTCTCTCCCTGCTTGCTAGGTGAAGCACTAGGAGAAACCTCAACGTGGATGCGGGAGGATTCTTGACTCTGGACGAGAAAGAATTCTCGAACGGGTCAGACACGTGCAGGTAAGGAAGGAAATTCATTAAAGCAAGAGCAGCAGGGAATGGCAGCTGCTTGGCAGGCAGCAGAGAACAGGAAAGTGCAGAGGGAAAGAGGGAAAGTTCTCAGCCTAGGGCAGATTCCCTTGCCAACTCCTGAGGCCAGGGTCACCCAGCATCCTGTGTCTGCTTGGATCTGCACAGCATGGGGACTAGCTCCAACCACTCCAGGATTTGGGGGAGAGGCAGAGCACAGGATGGAGTGAGATTATGTTCTGAGAACTTCCCAAAGAAAGATTTTCATGTAGGCTACTAAGAGCAGCTGGCACAGCTGCAGTTCCTTCTATGTCACCCAGGCGATGGAAACATGCAGGTCCAAATTTGAGCTCTTAGCAGCGCCTTCCTACTTATTAGGAGTAAAGCGGAGACAGTGAAGACTTGGAAATAAAATGAAATAGCAAAGAGACAAACCGCAGTAATCTGAGCAGTGACAAAGCTTAATTTGAAAGTACACGCTTAAAGTAGGAAAGTACGCATCCTCAGAAAGAAGGCACACTGAAAGTTTAGGGATTCTGTCTTTGAAAGCTTTCAAGAATGGGGCAAAGGGCAGGAATTGTTGGATGTAAGCTTGACTTCTGGTCTCAAGATGCTTATCTTTCTTTTCATGTCTCCTTTCCTTTATTATCAGTCCTCCAGCTAATTCTGCTAAATAAACCCAACACAAAGAATTTATCCTTTTCTCCAAGTTAGTGGTTACCCTCAAGTGGTGGGGACATACCAGTTAAGACTGCTTGCTCTGCCTTAATATAGTAGGCTGTTGGGTTATTGTCTGATTACCAGAGAATATGTAAGGAATCTTTCTTCTCACCTTTCTGCTTTTTAAAATGGAATCTTAGCCTAAAGATGGAGTTCCTCCTGTTCTTACCATACTGTTTATATCTTAGCATTTTTCACCATAGGCAGGAAAAGTTAATCATGATGCTTGTCCCACATCCCTGCCCTACCTCAGGACTAGGTTTCAGGGCACTAAGAAGTGACTAAAATTACTGTTGGCAGCCGCGCTCAGAAAATAGCGCCCAATGCAGGGCAGCCGGAAGGCCCCGAACTTCCTAATGACAAATCATCCCATACCACTAAACTACATGCTAATTGCGCCTTGGCATAAGGACCAATGAGACCCACCAAATTGTTATGCTAATAAGGCATATGGAGCCGCACCAACCAGGTCAGAGCATGAGAACTATATAAGCAAGCCTCTCCTTCCCCTCTAGGTCCTGCCCAACTCATTTGTTTCACAAAGAGCTGAAGAATAAAGCTTTCTGCAGAAGAATCCTGCTGTTGTTGCGTGCTGTTCTTGCCGGCGAGGACGGAGCATGCGACAAATTACACACTTATTTCTTGGTTGTCTCAAGGCTGATTCTGCTACAATATGTTTACTTTGCTTCTTTGGTAACTTATTACTTAGTCGTCTTGACAAAGCAAAAATCTGTGTCTTGTATGTTGTTGGTTGCTCACAATACCTGCACTTAAAACATTTTGGAGGCCAAAAAAAAGAGGAGAGGGAAAATTACTGATTAAATTTTTTTGAAAATATGTGTCATTTCTAGAATCAAAAATCTTCCTGGGAGTCCAAACATTTTTCAGGATGAAACTCCTTACACTATAATCATTGGAAAACAAAAATAATCGACAACATCCAGTACACTTCTTTCAGAAGGGAGAGTAATGTGTATAAATGTGTTATTTATGCAGTTGTAAAAATACCCCTCTACCCACCATACCTGCCACCCTCTATTCAAAACTGCTAAGAAGGATTGAGATAAAGGCATAGGAAATAGTCAGTTTTGCAAATGTAAAGAGTGTTTAATAAAGCAATTAAAACTCTTTTTTATATTCTTTCAAGATACCAGTAAATTCTATACAGCTCCCAAATTAGTGTTAGGGTATAGGAGTCAGTAGAATCAAGAAATAACCTGACCACCTGAGGTCACTGTGTCTTGCCAATGGGTTTCCGCCCCAGGCAATTTCACTATGGATTCAGTGTGACCAAAGAAATGACAGTAGAACATTCTTGGGGTGAAAGGGTTATACCCAACTTTATTTCCATGGTGGCAGGTCAATCACTAAAATCCCATTCACTCAGAGCGAGTCTGCATGCAGCAAGCCAGGCTCCGCCTCTGGGCCTCTTTGCCCACACAGCCGCCCCAGTCTCTGTCTTTGGCGCTACCACCACTACAGCCTCTGCTTTGCTCTCCTGCAGCCTTGCAGCTGTGCCACCATGTTGCCCAAAGCACTGGGCAGAGCTCTTTATATAGAGTCAATGCAATGTATTGCCCACACATTTGTAGTGAGCTAGGCAACCAGGACCAGGTGAGAATCCTGGCCACAGGAACCTTTGTTTTGCCCATACTGTAATTCTCAGATTTGCAGAATGATTGGTTTGTGAAGTACAGCTGACGTAACTTGGAGGTTAGCAGCACTGACCTCTACTGTTGAAAATCTAAGTATAACTTTTGACTCAAAACTTAATAGCCTACTGTTGACTGGAAGCCTTAACATAACATAAACAGTCGATCAACACATATTTTGTACATGTACTATACACTATATTCTTAAAGCAAGGTAGGGAGAAAATGTTTTTCAAATTGACACAAATCTCCAAAGTATTTTACAATTTATTTATTGTAAAACAGGTGTAAGTGAGGTTGCACAGTTCAAACCTGTGTTGTTCAAAGGTCAACTGTATAGGATCGGGGACAGGAATAGGGTAGCATGATTCTTATGGTTGTGTGTTTTAAGGATTTTTTACTGATTACAGGAGAATTTAAGATTGATGAAAAAGATTGCATATGATTTATGTTGTGTCTATAATAGTGTTATTTATACTCATCTGGTCATTGCAAAGCAAGTAGCCTAAACAACAGCAACCATTTATTTTGCTCACAAGTAAGCAATTACTCTTCTCCTTGTGTAAGTAGTTAATGGCCTTGTGCTGGGAAGGCAATAATACAGTGTGAGATAGAACAGATTCTCACAGCTTTCTCCAATCACCTGTTCCTTAATCGTATTCTTCCTGGAATTTGCTTAGGGATTTTCCTTTTATAACACATGGGAAAATAGGTATGATGGTTAATTCTTATGTGTCAACTTAACTGGGACATGGGTTGCTCAAACTTTATTCTGGGTGTGACTGTAATGGTATTTCTGAATGAGATTAACATTTGAATCAGTAGACTGGGTAAAGAAGATTGCTTTCCTTAATGTGGGTGAGCTTCATCCAATCAGTAGAAGGTATAACTAAAACAAAAAGGCAATAGGTAATTTTTAAAACCCTCAAGATAAGAGTCTGACTAAGGAGGTTTTCATACCTATATAATACAACAGGAACCATTTATGTTCAAAAGAATTCCCACATTCCAATTTTCTTGGGCATTTATTGAAGATCAGCATCTTGCCAATGGGTTTCAGCCCCAGGCAAGTTCACAATGTATTCAGTGAGACCAAGGAATGACAATGGAACGTTCTTGGGGTGAAAGGGTTTATTACCCAGCTTGTTCTCCTGGAAACCGATCAAGCACGAGTTACATCTGCATTCCAACAGTCTGCAGGTCTGTAATCCGCCGTCTCTGCCTCCGCCCAGAGCACTAGGCGGAGCTCTTTACATAGTGACTCAATCAATTGACTAGGGTGTGGAAGCAGTAGCCTAGTAGTAGACTGGTTACATCATCAAGTAGTTTAGATTCACGTGAGGATCCGGCCATAGGAACCCCAACTTTCCCCACAGGTGGGGAGGGGCAGATGCCTGGAGAGCCACCCAGACCCACAACAAATTTTGTATGAACAAGAAATAAACCTCTGTTGTTCTGAACAACCAAGATTTGGGAGCGGCTCATTATCACAGCATGACCCAGCCGTTCCTGGCAGACATAGTTATGAAAACTGGGGCTATTATGGTGAAGAGAGTGCAGGCTTTATCTTTGGGAAATGGAAGGTATTAAGTCAGGACTTTAAGAAAAACTCTGTATTGGTAGTGGCAATAAGGATATCCTAGATCCTTGTAAAATAAAAAGGGTAGCTGATAATAGACCCTTTGGGCATCCTTGAAATGAGCTATTGATTTTTTTCATACTCAAAAACATATTGGTCTCTGATAAATTTGTCATATAAATAGCTTTTTTGGAGACTGCTGAAACGTAGGATAGGTGATAACCCATTTATTTTGTCCTAGAAACCCAGTTGTCTGTTTACATAGACAAACCTACCCTCAAGATTATAGAGTCTAGTATAGCAAGGGCAAGGGGAACAGCATGAATGTTGGTGTCATTTGGATCTGAGTTTAAATGTCTGCTCCACCATTTATTTCCATTTGTAGAAAATCAGAAGAAGGTAACTATGTAAGGTCAATTCCTGTTTATTGATGATTAAAGAAAACAAGTATCAAAATGGGGGAAGCATTACTTTCCAACATTGAAAGAGTAAATAAAATACTGCCAAACCTTGTATTTCAAAAAATGGAATAACTACTTTATTTGCAATTAACAAAGGCCAGTGGCTTTTGGGACATTTTGCTTGAAAGTTTAGAAATACAGAATTTAGCCTTTACATTATTGGGCTACCTGTTTACTTTATGGTTCTTAGTTTGGGGTATGTTAACATCAAAGCAAATAGCTGTTTAAAAGATGCTAATACAGTCCTTCTTGTATTCCAAATTATCCCAATATGTGGTCTGGGAAATGGTTTCCTACTGATATGAATCTATGAATATATCTCCTAATGAAGTTTCCCAATTTGTAATAGTCCTCACACCTATAGATTGCTATTAAATTCATCAAGGATATCTGGGAGATGGAAGGTTGAATATCCCTGTTCCCTAGGCAGCCTCAATAGTCTCACACCCACAGACACACACCCATGCACATACACATATAGTGATCAAAAAGCAAACCTGACTAGTTTTTGGTAGCAAATATGCCAAAACTAAAATATCCATGAGTGTTATCACCTTCAAAGGAGTCACTTTGGGAAGC